CGATGTACAAATGCGCTTTACACAATTGATGTGTGTATGGATTGGGATAACAGTTGTATGAGCCCCTAATAAAATGTTAAAAAAGAAAAGAAAAAAAAAAGAAAGAGCAAGATTCCTTTGGACCTAGGTTTTAGGGAATATTTTCTAACTCTGGGTTGCAAAATGCTTTCGGCTTCTTCTCCTATGAGCTGAGACTTGAGAGAAGGTGAGGATGACACCAAACTGCTTTGTTTGGGGGGAGGAGTCAAGAACAGAGAGAAACTGTTCTACCTCGTCTCCAAAGAGATCCTGGGCAGGCGGCTGATGGCGTGAAAGTCAAGTGGCCCCTGTTCAGATGGGACATCCTTGTATTGCTAATTGTCATAAAACGTTTTATCAGTCTAAGACCTCATGAGTCTTTTGAAAGCAAACAAACAAATACGTTGTTTTTCTAGAGACCTTCGAATCTTTGAGCTGAGGAGCGGAAGTGGGCTGGGGTGGTAGGCGTAAGAACTGGTCTTGTAAGAACGGGCCAGGACAGCATGTTGCCTCAGCTCCCTGAGAAAAACTGCCAATTCCCACCTCCTAGGCGCTTCTCCTTTTATGGAGTAAGAGTATATTTTAAAAACCCTTGTCAGTTTTCAGCCAAAGTGCCTGGATTTCACTCCAGATTACGTCAGAGTTTAAATGCACCTGATTTCTCAGCCTCGCTTTTCCCAGGTTGCTGCAGAGTACCCTCTGCCAGTGGACCACAGGTGGCAGGTGGCAGTGGCACAGGCAGGCTCTACTCTCATACCATGGTGTATCATACATTTCCACATACAACCGGCCCAAAGACACCCCCTTCCCCTTCAAAAGAACAAAAAAAGCTTTGTCATAGAGTCAGTGTGGACTCATAGTGACCCTATCGGCCTTGAGAATTTTGGAGACTGTAATGCTTTAGTCTCATCTTTCTCCCTCAGAGCTGCTGATGGTTTTGAACTGCTAACCTTATAGTTAGCAGCTGGACATGTAACCCACTATGCCATCAAGGCTCCCCAGTCCCAAAGACCCAAGTCCTCTCACTGCCATCAAGTTGATTCCAACTCATAGGTAGAATTGCCCCTGTGGGTTTCTGAGACTGACACTCTTTATGGGAGTCATCTTTCTCCCAGGGAGCAGCTGGCGGTTTCAACTGAACACATAACCACTATGCCACAGGGCTCCAAAAGACCCAAGGGCCCACCTAGACCTGCAGTTCCAGTAGTTTTCAGTTCCTGCCTTCATGATGATCACTTTAACAAATACCTACTTTCAGATGTCTCCTTAGTCACGTGCGTACACATGTAAATATCAAGATGCTCACACCCATTGGCACTATGGATTCGTAGTCAAATGTTCTTTCTAAACAAACAAACAAACAAACAAACAAAAAACAAAAAAACTTTGAGGGTACTTGATGTGATTGGTTATACATCTTTTTCCTTTCAAATTATAATTTTTAAAAAATGTTTCTTAAATTCCATAGTGAACGCTGTTAAAATTAGACATAGTCTCAGAGCTGATTGGTCCAAAACCTTTGTTGTGGGTCACTGTCAATGTAGGGGGCAGGGGCAGTGTCCAGGTCACTGAACTCTGCAGCTTCCTTCAAAGGCAGCACTCCTACTGGCCAGCAAACAAATCAGAGGCTAGATAGGATTACAGCACCAAAGAGGATTCACCAGCTTTCCCTAAAGGCGGCTCAAACACTCTGCTCTAGTTTCTGAACAAAAATAAGCCCCCTAGAAGGAGCGAAGTGCCAGTTAAAAGGATCTGTGGCCCTTCCCAAGCCTGTGCCACCAGCTCGGCTGTCAGAGCCCTTCTCTGCAGGCCAGTGTGTGCAGTGGACTCAAACCCAGCAGGACTCCTGTGGGTCTTCTCTGGCTTCAGGAGTAGAGTCAGACCCTGGGAAGCCACCAGAGAACAGGAAGCCAAGACTCTTCGAGCTTTTTGGTGACTAAGGATTAAACTCTGCCAAGAAGTGCAATTGGGCACGTATTGAAAGCACTTTGCATGAAATTCTACTTGCACACTCTCCTAAGCTCAGGCCCCAGAGGATTAAAGTAATAAAAACCTGCTTACATCTTAGTGCAATTTGATTGACCAGAAAACAAAACAGATGTCTGTAAGGGTGGGGGCGCCCCAGCGCGGACTGAATGTAAACAGGTCTCCACAGCACGCAGCACTCGCAGTAGCCCATTAATTCCATTAACTCTGAGGGACCTGGGGTCACGGATGGGCTCCTATTAATAGGGGATTAAAGCTCCTGCGGACTTCATCTGTAAAGCCCTGATGGCTGGCGCAAAGTTAACTCCTCGCAAGCCAGAAAAGGAAACCAAGTCTTGAATGGACTGATGTGTGCTTGAAACACACACACACACACACACACACACACACACACACACTCCCCTTAAACATGCCAGACCCCACCCCTGTCCCCAGTGTCCTTCTTGGAGGGCTATTCCAGGGTAGGAAGCAGTGGCGGCAGGTCGCTGTCAGCTCAGTTTTGCCACGCACACTGCCAAGGCCACGGTTGCCAGCAGCACGGCGCTGAAAACGGTGGCGGCCAGGGCCTTGTTCGGATCGCAGGGGCCCGTGCGCTCCTCTACCGACACGCCGCCCCCTGAGGAGGCACCGAGGCTGGGCAAGAGCTCCGCGGCCGCCGCCTGCCTGGGCTGCACGGTCCAGCGCGGAACGTTGACTTTCATCTCCATGTCGTGGATCAGCTCGCGCACCTGGAGGAGCTCGCACTCCAGCCCACTCGGGTCTGCCGCGTCCAAGTCGCCGTCGGCCTGGTGCCGCAGGCTCCGGGTGCTGCAGGAACGCGCCGCCAAGCCCGTGCGCACCAGCGGCCGCTGCGGCGCTTGCAGCGGGAACGCCGCGCTCAAGTCCAGCGAGCGCTGCAGGTCCGCCTCCAGCAAGTCCAGGCAGCCAGCGAAGGCCACCCAGAGGCGCTCGAACTCGGAGCGCTCCTCAGTGCCCAGGCTCCGGTCGCGCAGCGCGGCCGTCAGCCCGGCTCGTGCGGTCACCGCCAGCCCCAGCGCCTTCTGGCGCATATGGCGAAGCTCCACACGCAGGTTCTGCGAGTCGCCAGAGCCACCGACGGCCAGCGCCAGGTGGTGGTAGCAGGCGGTCGCCTTGTTGAGCGCGTCCAGCAGCGCCTTGCACTCCTCCCTCGCCATGGCAGTGCGCTCCGGGGAGTCCGGGTGGCCCGCGCCGCTCGCAGCGACCCGTCCTTAGCACGCCAGGGAGCCACCAGTCCCGACGCCCGCCACCGGTCGAGCGGCCCGTGAGCTCCGCATGGCCAGACTCGCTCGGAACCGCGACGTGCGCCTCCACCGGCCGGGTGCACAGCAAAAGCCCTCTTAACTGCCTCCGGACCTCCAGTCCATCTTCTCCGGACGCGCTCCGAGTCACACGTCGCGTGTCTGCTTGACTTTCGCCTCTTTGGGGGCCCCCTGCAACGCCTCGGGCGCGGTCTCCATCCTTCTTTGGCGTCGACGCCTTAGCAGCTACCGAACGCGGCCGGGCCGGGTTTCCTAGGTCCCGCCCACCTCCTCTGGGGCTGGCCGGCGCATCCACCCCTGGACCACAGTAGGCGGAGCCCCGCTCAGAGAGGTCACGTGTCGGCCCGTCCCCCGGTCTCGCCCTCCTCTGTACCCCTGTGGCAGTTCTGGAATGTCAGATGATCCAATCCTCCCCACTTACGGAGTTGGAGAAACTGAGGTCCTAAGTCAAGGGGTGTTCATGCAAACAAGGGGACTGGAACCTGGGACCCCGACTCCCAGGCCCCGTTTCCGTCACGGAGTGGTGTGCCTCCTAGAACGGTGCACTTTCATCCCCCAAAACTGGTAGCGAAGGCTAAGACGCGGGGCGGAGCTTTTCCCAGGTCAGGAGACCTCTCCCCATCCCAGTCCAGACCTCCAAGCTTTAGACTCCACCCCTAGTCCCAGTTCTGCGCTTTCTCGTTTCGAGCACGCGCAGTCGGCGGCTCTAGGCGGGGCCAACCTGACTAGGAAGTGTCTGAGCCCCGCCCTTGACTGAGCCGAGCCCAATGATTGCTCTGCGCAAGCGTCACTCTGCGCAGAGACCGCTGCTCATTGGGTCAACCGAGAGCCCCAGTCAAAGGCCCGCCCAACCACGGAGTGAATCGGGGGGTGGGCGGTGAAGCGGAGCCGTCCTGCAGGGGTGGTGGGCACGAAGGTCTGAGCTGAGCGTCGGGGAGGTGCCACCGCTCCAGGATGAGCAGGGGTGAAACTATGTAGCCTTTCTAAGTAAGTGTCCTCCCGTGGGTTTCCACCCGCGCCTCTCTCCCCCGGGACAGCTGCGCCTCGGGCCGGGAGCCCGGCTCGGCCCGGACCAAGGAGGGGGAGGGGTTCACCGCCGCAGCCAGCGCCCTGCCGCGTCCAGGCCACCCCGCGGCCGGCTGGCGGGCCCGGGCTGGCCCCGAAGGTTCCGGCCCCGTTCGCTTGGTTGGGTCGGTGGCCGGGCGTTCACTGCATACTCGGCCCCTGGTGTCAGGTGGGGTGGGGACCCACAAGGAACGGCCCTTTGACCCTTGCGGCTCCTGGCCAACTCCTCCAGGTCTCGGTTCGGAGAGCTCGGACTTGGGGACAGTGGGCAGGATGGCCAGACCTAGGAGGGTGTGGTGAGATCTTGAACCTCAAACCGGGCAGCCGTGGCCCCTGGAGTGCTGAGGATGCCACGGGAGGTGGAGTGGTGTGTGAGCTGGCTGGAAAGCGCCTGCCCACCCCCCTGGCCCATCTGGATGAAGATTACTTAAGGAACACCTATAAACACCAGAAGTGCTGTAGACTTTGGGTCCTTCCAGTTCATTTCGTTGAAAATGGCCCGCCCTCAGGCTCGCGCACCGGACGGTGCCCCTCCCTCTGGCCGCCTCTCGAGGTGCAGTCGCACCCGCGTGCTGAGTATGGCTTCCTTGAGGATTTACCACATTCAGTGACTCCTCGGCTGCACGGGAGCTGAATTTTTCTGTTTGTGGGTGTCGTGGACAGGGATTCCCCATTTTGCTTTCGTAAGACCACGCCCACCTGCGTTGGGGAGAGGCAGTGGGTTTTAACGTTTCAAAGGAGACTTGGCAGTACAGTCTTTAGGCGTTAACCAGGTGAGTGGCTGGAACACACCAGCCTGCACTGCAGGAGAAAGATGTGTCAGTCTGCTTCTGTAAAGTTTCCAAAGCCTTGGAAACCCAGGGGGGTTTCTCCGTCCTGCAGGGTTGCTATGAATCCTGAATCCACTGATCGGCAGTTGGTTGGGGGTTAACATTTGGGGATCCACCTGGTGGAGCAGTGGTGTTGGGATGGGCTTCACCCTTAACTGGGGTCGTCCACTTGCTGGTTGGTTTCTCTCCCAAGCCCACCTGTGGGGCCTGCACCAAGACATTGAAAGTTGGAGTTGTCCGGCCAATGGGAGGAAGAAGGGAAATGGGGTGGCTAGCCCCCCACAACTAATCACGGTTCGGTAGATGCTGTTGTGGGAGACTTCGAGGTACACAGAGGCCTCGAGGTGAGATTTTTGTGTGTGTCTGGAGCAAAGGTGAAACCACTGACCTGCACAGACACTAGTGATGGAAACATCACTTTGCTCTGTGTGTAATGAGTGAGAGCAGGGAGACGGTGCTGGTAGACCTTGGGGGGTTGGTGTGTGTGTGTGGGTGGGGGGGTGTGGGGGTGGGGGGGGGGGGGGGGCTTGGGGGGGGGGGGGGGGCAGAGGTACAGGCTGGAAAGGGTGCAGGCACTGACACAGCAACACCTCCTACTGCGGGAAAGCAGTTAGGGCTGGGCAGTTGGGTAGACCTAGCTTCCTAACGTACATGTTGGGCAATCTTGGTCTTACTATCAGCCCTGCTGGAAGCACTGCTGGGGAAGCTGCGGTACTGTTTGCAGAGAGCCTTGCAGTCAAGATCTTGTTGCTGCTGCCTTGTGGCCATTGGGCCATGTGCCCCTCATGAGGGCAGCTGCTGGGTCTTTTGTGATGGTGGGGTCTTCAGTGTTTAGTGTTTGGGTGGCATCTACTCTGCTGGGGCTCTTTGTGTGGTTTATGAGGAGTGTCCAAGGTTGGGCTGGTGTCCCGGAGCTTGGCTCTCCCAGAGGCACAGAGGAAGAGCCCACATGATAATAGACACCAGGATGAGAATGGATCAGGCTGGATAGATCAGGTCTGAGGTTGTCTCTTCCATCTGTGTCCACCCTGACAAGTGACCTTCAGAGCTTCTGCCCTTCTTCCCAAGACCCTGGCAGGGAAGTGGGTACCAGGTGCTTCCACTGGCAATTCAAGGAGCAGGATGATGTCATTCTGAGAGGCAATTGTACACCCCGAGCTTTTCTAGTCTGCTGGTACTTGCGTCCCCCTCCCAGTTGGGCCCTCCACATTTCAGCTTCCACTGTGTTTGGTCAGCTCTGAGGGCCCTGTTTGTTTGGAGTTATTAGTCTGTACGTCTGCTTGGGCCCCGTGCATCAAATGGTATGGAGGCGGTGCCCAACCTCTAAACTCACAAGGTGACAGGAGCATTAGGATCTTCAGTATCAGCTGCTCAAGGCTGACCCTTACGGGGTGGAGGTCAGGTCCCGCTCCACCCTCCCGCCTTCTCACCATTCCTGACACCAGCCACCCGTCCCATAGCACACACTAAGTACTTCTCTGCTGGGCTTGAGAATTCCTTGCGGTGACCACGTACCACGCACAGACAGTACTCACGAATATGGGGTTTATTAGGGAAATACACTGAAACTCACTACCACGGAGTTGATTCTGACCCATGGAGACCCTCTAGGATGAAGTAGGGCTGCTCCCTGGGGGTTTTTGAGGCTGTAAGTCTTTATAGGAGCAAAGCCTGATCTTTCTCCAAGGGAGCTCATGCAGAGGACTGGTGGGTTACAACTGCTAGCAGCAATTAGCTCAACACAAACCCACTGCTATTGAGTTGATGCCAACTCATAGCAACCTATGGGACAGGGTAGAACTGCCCTTGTTAATTTATGAATCTGTGACTCATTGTGGGAGTAGAAAGCCCTCTGCCTTCCTCAGAGTGGCTGGTGGTTTCGAACTGCTGAGCTTGCAGCTAAAAGCCCAACAAATAACCACTACACCACTAGGGCTCTTGTAGGACTCCTTTATTAAGGGAAATAAAACATACCAAACTCACCGCCATTAAGTCAATGCTGACTGTAAGTTTCTGAGGCTATAACTGTTTATGGGAGTAGAAAGCCCAGTCTTCCTCCCATGGAGCTGTTGGTTTCTAACTGCTGACGATGTAGATCACAGCCCAACGAGTAACACTATACTACCAGAGCTCCTAGGGAAATAGTGGGTTACAATTCAAGATCGGGAACACACAGGAAACAGTTCTTTGATCAGACAGCTTCCTTTCAGACATGCTTGCAGGCATGTGCCTCTCTGGCACATGGTTTCTGCCCTGTTCGGCAAGCATTACAAAGCTCTTTTAGCTCTGTGATAAATGCCCACCCAGCCAGTGAACCTCAGCTCAAAGGTGCTCGATTGTAGCTCCATTGGTGGGCAAAACTAGCTCCCCCAATTAAGTGCCCAGGAGGCACTCCGCTATGCCAGCAAGCCTCCTGTTGGAAAGCACCCAGCTTTCTTGCACCTTGGATTGGGAGTCCACTGTGCTCTTGTGTCATAGCTCTTTGTCTCCGGATCTAGGAGGTTCTGTGCAGGGATTTTAGGGCCACACTTCTCTCCTGGATCGTCTTTATGGTTGGGAGTGACATTTCTGTGTCTTCTTCTAAGATGGCTGATTTTCAGCTCATTGGGATGGCAAAACGAACCAGTCCCCTCACTGGGGACGTGTGCATGGTCCCACCCCTCACAGTAGTGCCATGCCCTTTATTTCCATGATTAACAAGCTCCTAGCATAGTGGTTACATATTGAGCTGCTAATCACAAGGTCCGCAGTTCCAAACCATCTCAGGAATAAGCTGGGCTTTCTATCCCCATAAAGAATTACAATGTCAGAAACCTACAGGGGCAGGGCATGGAGTCAGCATCGACTCCATGGCAGTGAGTTATGTGTGTTTTTGTTGTTGTTGTTGAGTTACTTCCCTTGGTGGGCCACCCACCCCTCACATTTGTCTCTTCATTTGGTCAGGAATACAAACCCTCTGTCTAGAAGGATCATAGCAAGTCATCCATAGCCCTCAGCCTCTCCTGTGGATTTCCAGCCCCTGGGAGAGAGGAGTCCTGACTGGTCCTTTGGGTTCCAGTAACACCTGCTAGTGTTCCGGTTGGCAAGCAGTTTCAGCAGCCCACAGCACATTAGGGAAGAGGTTTGCCAAAGGTCTGACAAACAGCGCAGGCTAGGAGGACGTAAGTGACTGTGATTCCATAGGTTCCATAATTGTCAATGGATTGAATTGCATCCCCTTCAAAATGTGTTGGAGGCATGACCTCCACACTGTTGGATGTGGTTCTATTTAGAGAAAGAGTTTCCATGGTTAACAAGGCCATCCCACATAGGGTTTTGAGGTATGTAGGGAGCAGACTTGGCACAGAGCCAAATGATGAACAACAGGGCAAGATGTGCTCCCCAGAGGTGAACAGGAACCCAGGGGGAGGGGTGGTATTAGACAAGTGGACACAGGGACTCTGCCCGAGCTGAGAGTAAGAGCACCGCGCACAGAGCTGGTGCCCTGAATTCTCACTCTGTAGCTGCCTGACTTGTGAAGTACTAAATTTCTGTTCATGAATGCTTCACCCATGTGGTAATTGACACAGCAGCACCAGACAATGTCAGCTTGCTTCTGTGGGGTATGAAACAGGTGGATAGGAAGTCTTCCTCTTTTGCCTCTTCCTTCTGAATGGCCAGTTCACTCAGCTGGAGAATATTGCCCAGCCAGCTGAAAACCTGGGTTCTCCCTGGCCAGGGGGCTTTGACCAGGCAGGGCCCTGGAGGCGAAGGTGTGGAAGCAACAGCTGGGCGGGCTGACACCCCTGCACAGAGCTGCAGCTGAGCCAAGCCGCCTGCTGTCTGTCACCAGAGGGCCCTGGACTACCCAGACGCATCCACTGGCAGGCCAGTTGACAACCACAAACCAATAGTGCACACACCTTCCCCAGAAATGGCTGGTACTGGTCCCAGGGCTCCCAAGGCCTTCCTGTCCCTGGAGCAACATCACATCACCCCTGGGCAGAGGTGCCTGCTGTCACCACTAGCTGTTCTCTATGCTACTGGAACTCAGGTAGGGGAAGACATCCTTTTTGTGGGAATTCGCCTCTTTTTAAGGAGCTTTATAAGAGT